GAAAACGTAGCAAGATCCAACATGGACAGAAACCTAAATCAAAAAAATTCATTTGAAGAGTCAGAAGTGGTTCTTTAGGCTAACTCTAAATTTCAGAAGCAGCAGAAGAACTTGTCAGTCTACTTTGTTATGACAAAGGGATTTGCATTGTTCCACAAAACAGGAAAAAAAAAAACAGTAGTTGTTGTGATCTATAATATTCTGACTCTTAAGAGGTTATGGCAGTTCCTATACACACAATATGATAGGTGAATGGGTTGCACCTGCACAGTGATACAAATATATGGCCTAAGTAATCATGGAGGCTTCCCTAGCAAGCTTCACTTGTTGTGTTCAAGTTATGTATAGATCTCAGTTGCTCTCACAGTAAGAAATGCTGGTCCACTTTGTTGAAGAAGCTGTATCCATTTCATTGCTTTGCAGTATTACTGAATAGAAGTACTGATGCAGTCTTTCAAGAACAATCTGCAATCCACTGTGCTCACCCTGACTGCCCAAATCAGGGAGCTGTAGGATCACAGCCAGCTTCAACATCTTCCCTTTCCCTGGCATTTTGAACTATCAATTCATAGCTCACTGCAGCACATCCTCAAGAGGAATGAGAAGTAATGGTTACTTTTTCCTGAGCGATGCCCAACATCCTACTGAGGTATGCTGCTGATAGGCTATACCTCCCACAGACCAAGACCAGATCTGGAAGCTAGATCTTCCCAATTGTAAACAAAGACTCTGTTAAAAGATGTTAAAGACATCATGACTATTGTTTTTTAAATGAGAACATTAAAGTTTTAGTGCAAATGTACTGCACTGGGAGCAGATTCACAGCTGGTGATCCCAGATGAACAGGGCCCTTGCTCTTGCTTGTAGCAGGCAGACGTTCTCTGTGGCCACAAGCCCGAATATGCTGATTTACTGTGTCTTGGTCTGTATGCCTGGGGTATACTTTAGAGAAAAAATACCTAAAGGCATTTTAAGAATTATTTTAAGTTAGGCTTTAAAGTTACTGTAGCTAAAGACATTTCCAATGTTATTTTTTTTCCATGAGGATTTCATATTAAAATCAATGCTGTATTTAGAGCCTATATCAACAACTATATCTCTTCATTTCCTGGAGTATTTTTCTAGTAATAAAACAGCTTTTGGAAGTGCATTTGGGTACTTAGCATTAGAATAAATTAGTTCTGAGAGCATTCCAGATGAAAGTATCAGTGTTAATAACATCTGTCTTACATGTAGCTCTGTGAAATTCTGAAGCCCTTCCCTTCCCTTCCCTTCCCTTCCCTTCCCTTCCCTTCCCTTCCCTTCCCTTCCCTTCCCTT